CTGACTTTATTTGTGTGAAAAGTGTTTTGTAATTGTGTTCATGTAGTTCCTGAGTTTGTCTTGGCAGGTAGACTCCCAAAAATTTTATATTATCTAAAGTTATTTTAAATGGAATTTCTCTTTCTATCTCTTGCTGGTAGACTTCGTTGATAATATATAGAAATGCCAATGATTTATATGGGTTTGTTTTATAACTTGAAACTTTGCTAATGTTGTTAATTATTTCAAGTAGATTTTTAGTTGATTTTCTATAATTCTCTAAGTATACCAACATATCATCTTCAAAACTTTGTTTCCTCATTGTCTTTTCTAATTCCTTCAATTTCTTTTTCTTCTCTTATTGCTAAAGCTAACATTTCTAGTACAATATTGAATTACAGTGGTAATAATGAACATCCTTGTTTCACCCCTCATCTTATTAGGAATGCTTCTAGCTTATCCTCATTACATATAATGTTTGCTAATAGATTTTAGATAAATGCTACTTATCATTTGAAGGAAGACTCCATATATTCCTATGCTGTCTAGTGTTTTTAATAGGAATGGGTGTTGTATTTTGTCCAAAGCTTTTTCTTCATCTCTTGAGAGAATCATATGATTTCTGTTAGTTTTGCTATTGTGGTCAATTATGCTGATAGTTTTCCTAATATTGAACCAGTTCTGCATTCCTGGTATAAATCCTACCTGGTCATAGTGTATTATCCCCATGACAAATTGCTATGATCTCTTTGCTAACATTTTATTTAAAACTTTTTCATTCATATTCATTAGGGAAATTGGTCTATAATTTTCTTTCTCTGTTTTGGCTCTTCCTGGTTTAGATATCAGCATCATATTTATATCATAAAAATAATTTGGTAGGACTCCTTTGACTATTTTTCCAAATAGTTTTTATAGTATTGGAGTTAATTGTTCTTTAAATGTTTGTTAGAATTCACTTGTAAATACATCTGGCTTTGGAGATTTTTTTCTTAGGGAGTTCATTGATGGCTTGTTCAATTTCTTTTTCTGAAATGGGGCTATTTAAGCGTTTTATTTCTTCTTCTATTAATCTTGGCAATCTATATTTTTGTAAATATTCATCCATTTCACTTAGATTGTCAGATTTATTGGCATACAGTTGGTCAAAATAGCTGCTACTTATTGTTTTAATTTCCTCTTCATTGGTGGTGAATTCTCCCTTTTCTTTTTTGATACTGGTAATTTGGGTTTTTTCCTTCTTTTTTTAATCAAATTAACTAAAGATTTATCTATTTTGTTGGGTTTTTTTTCATAAAACCAGCTCTTTTATTTTTATTTATTAGTTCAATAGTTTTCTTAATTTCAATTTTATTAATCTCTGCTTTGGTTTCCAGTATTTCTAATTTGATATTTAATAGGGGACTTTTAATTTTTCTAGCTTTTTAGCTGCATGCCCAATTCATTGATCTCCTTCATGTAAGCATTTAGAGACATAAAATTTCCTCTAAGAACTGCTTTGGCTGCATTCCATAAGTTTTGGTATGTTGTGTCTTTATTTTCATTCTCTTAGACAAAGTTATTGATTGTTTCTATGATTTGTTGTTTGACCCACTCATTCTTTAGGATTAGATTATTTAATTTCCAATTAATTTTGAGTTTATCTTTCCATGGCCCTTTATTACATGTAATTTTTATTGCATCATGATCTGAAAATCATACATTGATGTTTTTTATGCCCTAATACATAGTCAGTTTTTGTGTTGGTGCCAAGTACTGGTGAGAAAAAAGGTATATTCCTTTGTATCCCCATTCAGTTTTCTCCAGAGGTCTACTATATCTAACTTTTCCACAATTCTATTCACCTCCTTAACTTCTTTCTTGTTTATTTTGTGGTTAGATTTATCTAGTTCTGAAAGTGGGAGATTGAGGTCCCTCACCAGTTTGGTTTTGCTGTCTATTTCTTCCTGTAATTCATTTAACTTCTCCTCTAAGAATCTGGATGCTCTATCACTTGGTGCATATATGTTTAGTATTGATATTACTTCATTGTCTATGAACATTGTCTATGAATCCTTTTAGCAGGATGTAGTTTCCTTCCCTGCCTCTTTTAATTAGATCTAATTTTTCTTTTGCTTTACCTGAGGTCAGGATTGCTACCCCTGCTTTTTTTTTTACTTCAGCTGAAACATAACATATTCTACTCCAGCCTTTTACCTTTACTTTGTGTGTATCTTTCCACTTGAAATGTGTTTTTTGTAAACAACCTGTTGTAGGGTTATGATTTTTTCATCCAATCTGCTATCCACTTCTGTTTTATGGGAGAGTTCATCTCATTCACATTCAGTTAGGATTTTTAACTGTGTCTTTCTCTCCATCCTATCCTCCTTGTTTATGCTTTTCTTTCTCCTTTCTCCATTTCCCTCCTCACTAGTGTTTGCTTCTGACCACCACCTCCCTCAATCTTCCCTCCCTTCTATCAGCCCTCTCCCTTTTCTTTCCCCTTTCCCCTCCTACTTCCTGTAGGGCAAGTTAGATTTCTATACCTAACTGAGTGTGTACGTTATTCCCTCTTTGAGCCAAATCTTATGGGAGTGAGGTTCAAACAATGTTCATTTCCCTTCCTTGTTTCCTTCTACTGTAATAGGTCTTTGCACATCTTCATGTGATGCAATTTGCCTTTTTCTGCCTCCTCTTTTCCTTCTTTTTCCCAGTACAACCCCTTTTTTTCACTTCTTAATTAATTTTGTTATCATCATATCAAACTCAACTTACACCCACACCCTCTGTCTATGTATATGCCTTTTAAATGTTGTAATAAAAATACAGTTCTCAAGAGTTACAAATATCTTCCCATGTAGGAATGTAAACTGTTTAACCTTATTGAATATCATTTTTTCTTTCCTGTTTACCTTTTTTATGTTTCTCTTGAGTCTTATATTTGAGATCGAATTTACTGTTCAGCTCTGTTTTTTTCATCAAGAAAATTTGGAAGTCCGGTATTTCATTGAATGTCTACCCTCCCCTGATAGATTATGTTCTGTGTTGCTGGGTAGTTGATTCTTGGTTGTAATTCAAGATCCTTTGCCTTCCAGAATATCATATTCTAAGCCCTCCAATCCTTTAATGTAGAAGCTGCTAAATCCTGTGTAATCTTGAGTGGTTCCACAATATTTAAATTGTTTCTTTCTGACTGCTTGAGGTATTTTCTCCTTGACCTGATAATTCTGTAATTTGGATGCAATATTCCTTGGAGTCTTCATTTTGGGATCTCTTTCAGGAGGTGATCAGTGGATTCTTTCAATGACTGTTTTATACTCTTATTCTAGATCCTCAGGGCACTTTTTCCTTGATAATTTCTTGAAAGATACCATTCAGATTCTTTTTTTTTTAATAATGGCTTTCAGGTAGACCAATAATTCTTAAATTATCTCTCCCAGCTCTAATTTCCATGTGTTTTTCAAATGAGGTATTTTACATTTTCTCCTATTTTTTCATTCTTTTGATTTTGTTTGACTAATTCTTGATGTTTCATAGAGTCATTAGCTTCCACTTACCCAATTCTAATTTTTAAGGAGTTGTTTTCTTCAGTTAGTTTTTGTACCTCCTTTTCCATTTGGCCAATTCTACTTTTTAAGGAGTTGTTTTCTTCAGTCAATTTTTATCCTTCCTTTTCCAAGCTGTTGATTCTCTCTTGTATACCTCTCATTTCTTTTTTTTTCTTCTATCTCTTTTATTTGACTTTTAAAATCCTTCTTGAGCTCTTCCAAGAAGGCTGTTTTGGGGTTTGAGACCAATTCATATTACCCTTTTATATTTTAGAGGTAGGTATAGTGACAATGTTGTCCTTTTCTGAGTTTGTGTTTTGATTTTCTCTGTCCCCGTAGAATCAGTGTTCTTTCTTTTTTTTTTCTTTTGGCTCATCTTGTTTACTTGTTTCCTGGCTTTTAAAGTTGAGTCCTGTTTCTGGGGCAGAGGAGGCTTCTTGCTGTCATTCTCCATTATTGACCTCTGGAAAAAAAAAACAGAAAATAACACCCCAGGAAAAACCTGGAAGCGGGGAGCCAGTCAAAAATGGGGTGAAGCAGTCTTTTAACCCAAGCATGGGTTTTTTCCAATTTCCAAAGAATTTCCAATTCTTTGCCACCACAAAAAGAGCTGCTATAAATATTTTTGAACATGTGGGTCTTTTTCCTATGATCTCTTTGGGATACAGAAGTGCTATTACTGTGTTGTCTGGTCACATTACCACCACCCACCTCTCCCTTTCCCTATCCCCTCCCAAAGGGTATAAGAGAAATGAAAGGTGGTTTTGGATGAGATATTTGAAAAAAAAAAAGGCTTTAAGATTTGTTTCACTGTAACTGCTTATTGACATGTACATAAAAATGTTTCCCTTTCTTAGGCAATTGAGAAACAAAAAGTCATGAGAGGCAGCTATAATGAAATAGACTATTGACTTAACTAAGAGTCAAGAGAACTGGGTTCCATTTCTGTCTGTTCCCTTAACTAAGTATAAGCGTATCCATCTAGAGCTGGGAGGACCTCAGGAGTCATCTGGTTCAAACCCCTCATTTTATAGAAGAGAAAAATGGAAGCCCAGCTAGGTTAAGTGACTTGTCCAAAGCTGCATAAAAACTAAACATCAGAGTAAAACTACTGAGCAAGTCAATATCTCTCTGAGCCTTCCAGTTTTTCATCTGTAAAGTAAGTGTTGGACTAGCATTAAATGGTCGCTATAGCACCTTCCAACACTGACATTCTATAACTTTTATGAGAAAAACTCTTATGAGGGGTTGACTTGGGATCCCTTCGTGGGTTAGACTAGGCAAGATCCCAGTGTTCTCCAAGCTGAGATCCTTCCTCATTGAACAGCAACAGTGTCTTTTTGGCCCAAAATAATGGAAGGAATGCACTCTGGGGTTATTGATAACTGGGACTCATTCTGCCAGGGTCAGGGGAGTGGAGAATTCTTGCTCTGTAAATGTCCCCGCCAAAGTAGTAACAGGAATGTTTTAATGGTTCCTTTGTCTTTCTTGCAGAAAAGCCACGGATGAACAACATCCTGACATCAGCCACAGAGCCCTATGACCTTTCTTTCTCTCGATCATTCCAGAACTTGGCTCATCTTCCCCCATCCTATGAATCTGCAGTTAAGACCAACCCCAGCAAATATTCATCTCTGAAGAGGCTGAGTAGGTGTTATTTTCTTTGGTTGTGCTTCAGTCTCAGGTTGCAGCTAGATTTCCTTTTCTTTACCAGTACATGGGAACCTGTCCCATCTCATTCTCTCATCCAGATAGGAAAGGGATGAGGGTAGAGGAGAAAAGCAGCATGGTTTAGTGCAATGATGTCAAACTCAAATAAGGGCCACTAACCCATACACGAGAATCTCTGTGGGATGCAAATGTAATGTTATCTATGTTTTATTTATTTTGTTAATTATTTCCCAATTACATTTTAATTTGATTGGGGCTGTACTTGGGAATGTTGCAGCTATGTGTTTAATACCTCTGGTTTAGTGCACAGTTTTGCATTGCTTTTTTTAAAAAATATATTTCACAGAGATATATATATACATATATATATCAACATAATTGATTCCTTTGTAATTTTTTGTATTTTATCTCATGCATTTGAAAGCATTATTCTGTGAAGAGATCCATAGGATTCACCTAATGGACTAAATGGATCCATGGCACAAAAAAAATGTTAATAACCCCTGTTTTAATGGAAGTTATGTTAGATTTGGAGACAAATGACCTGGTTCTCTGATCTAACTCTTTCTCTTACTAGCTCTGTGGCCCTGGAAAGCTACTTAATTTTTCTAGCAGTTTCTTCATCTGTAAAATAAGCATATTAAACTAGATGATCTCTTAGGTCCCTTCCAATTCAAAAATCCTACAATTTGTATATCCTCTTATGTATCCATTGCTGATTTCAATATCAACAATTCTTCCTTCTCACATTTGAAGAGAGCTTGGACATTGCAGAGGGTTAGTCTATGCTGCTTTTCCCCCTACTTTCTTCTAAGTCCCAGAGTAAGATGGTCTGAGGTTATTGTCTCTAGAAGTCTACCAGCCATTACTGACTTGTGGCCAGTATAAAAACTAGTATTGCCAAGACCATATCCCTTCACCTTGACTACACTGATCACTGAGAAGGTAAAGTTCAATAGAGCAGCTTCCAGTCCTTCCTATCTTCCCTCCCCACCCCAACCCCCAGAAGCCCTGAACTAAGGCTTAACTTGACTGATAATATAACAATTCTGGCCTCCTGCTCCTACCATCAATTTTATCGATCTCTTCCTATGCCAGTGGCTCTAGGAACTCTGTTGTTATTTGAATCCAAGGAGTCTTTGGATTTGGGAGGAATTAAACTTTAAAGACAAAGAAATGCCATGGAGAAGATTCACTTTACAAATACTTGAAAGTGCCCTATGATGATATTTTAGCCACAGGCAGAAAACAGGGACTGAGAATCCTTTTGAAATTGACGATGTACTTATTAAAAGAAAGGAGGGGCCATGGAGACTCCTAGCTACCTTCATGGTGGGAAGCTTGATTTCTGTGGCTAGGGGTATTTATGCCTGACCATCTCAAGGCATTTTGAATTATTCTCAGTTAGAGGGTGAGGGGTAGGATCATTCATAGTGCTCTAAACCAGAATTGTGGGATCCTGTACTTTGTGGAAATTTAAGAGATGGAGTCTGCGAGAAGGTTTGTTCCTGAAGATTATGTGTGAATACGACATGTGTCCCTCCCCAGGGATACACATTGCTTTGGTTTGTGTGGAGAATATATGAATATCATGTGTAAAGTTTCTACAGGTGCAATGGTGTATATGTATTTGTTTATATATTATATATGTGTACATGCATATACATACACACATATATGCATGTGGAAGGTATATAAAAACCTTCTTATGGAATGTATGCTTAGAATACGTGCTAGGTACAGGCCTAAGATATATAAGTCTGTAGAGTGTGTATAGGCAGCAATATAGCATAATGGACAGAATTCTTAACCTGAAGTCAGGAAGACCTGAGCTCAAATGCCTCTTCAGACACTTCCTAACCTGTGTCACCCTTAGGAATTCATTTAAACTCTATTGACCTCAATTTCTTCATTTCAAGAAGAGGAAAATAATAGCACCTTCCTCCCAAGTTGTTATGAGGATCAAGTGAGATAATATTTGTAAAGTGCTTTATTATCATTTTTATTAATTCAAAGGTAAATAATGCCTATATATAGACACATAGAAAAACAGAATGTTTACTTAAGTGGTGGTGTAGAATGTATGTGTGTAGTGTATGTGTTAACATATATACCAGGTATTTATAAGTGTAGGATGTATAGGCATATAGGGTTAGTATATGTGTAGAGTGGGAGATTTGTGTGACTTGGCATAGGAATAAGTATAGGGTATGTGAGTTTATGAAGTGCATGTTATACTATATCATTGATTCCTTGGGATCGTAGACCTAGAGCAAGAAGGGAATTCAGAGGTCACCTAGCCCTGTATGTATTTTTGGGATGTATTATAGATTGCATATATGTCCAGGAGTATGTGGAGGATAGGGTGTGGTATATAGTTTTCATATGTGTCTATGTGAATGTGCAGATTGGGTGGAAAGGTGTGAGTATTGTTACATGTGTATGATTTGTATATACAGTATTTAAGTATGTTCAATAAACATTAAGTGCCTACTAAGTGTAAGGTACTGTGTTTTTCACTAAGATATATAAGACACAGAGGTGTGGAACCAAAATGCAGAGAAAAGGCAAGTGACTCACCAAATTCTCTTCCAAACAACTTTAAATAATGCCTTAAAATGAATTCTAGAGTGGCAGAATCCACAAAAGGATAGGGTGTAACAGTTTTCTAGCCCAAGACAACTTAGAAGTTTAGCAGGAAACATCTGTTGCACTGGAGTGAGAGCGAAGCACATTCAAGCACAGGCTAAGCCAGAACAGGCCATGCCCCAACAAATCAGTACCAGTCCTTGGGGGCAACTGAATCAGCAGTGGCAGCAGTAACAGCAGGAGTTGGCAGCCCACCAACAGTAAAGAAGTTGGACAACTGGTCAGAAAGAGATTACAGGGTTCCCTTTGCTGGTACTGGGTTCAGGACTCTGTTGCATTACCCATTTGCAGATCCAGGTCATACTCCTGGGTGAGGAGAATCACTAGCATACCAGAGTTTACAGCTGCAGGGGAATCCTGGTTGCAGTTCCATGATGGAAAAGAGTGCTTGTGATCACCCACAGACCAGATCACAGGCCAGGAGGTCAGTGACCACACCTCTTTTTAGATCATACCACATTGGAAAAACTGAAAACTTGCAGACCCCTAGAACTAGCTCTGAGAGTAGTAGTAACAAAAACTTGAAATTTAGAACAGCCCAGGATCAGAGCCCGACTTTAACATAAAGTTAAAAGTCAAGAAATAGAATGGGGAAATGGGCAAACAACAACAACAAAAGAACGTGACCATAGAAAGTTACATGGTGACAGAAAAGATCAAAACACAAACTTGGAAAAAGATATTGATGTCAAAACTGCTACATCCAAAGCCTCAAAGAAAAATGTGAATTGGTCTCATGCCAAAAAAAAAAGAATTCCTGAAAGAACTCAAAAGGGAGTTTAAAAATCAAATAAAAGAGGTAGAAGAAAAATTGGGAAAAGACATTACAATGATGCATGAAAATTATGAAAAAGGAATCAATAGCATGGTAAAGGAAGTACAAAAAAATACTAAACAAAATAATACCTTAAAGAAAAGAATAGGTCAAATGGTAAAAAAAAACAATAATAATATTAATTAATTAATTAATTAATTTAAATGGCTCAAAAATTCACTAAAGAGAAGAACTCCTTAAAAAGCAGAATTGTCCAAATGGAAAAAGAGGTATAAAAATTCAATGAAAAAAGGTCTCCTTAAAAAGTAGAATTGGTCAAATGGAAAAGGAGGTCCAAAAGCTCACTGAAGAAAATAATTCCTTAAAAATTAGAATTGGGCAAGTAGAAACTAATGATTCCATGAGACATCAAGAAGCAACCAAACAAAATCAAAAGGAGGAAAAAAATGGAAGAAAAATGTGAAATATCTCATTGGAAAAACAACTGACCTGAAAAATAGATTGAAGAGGGATAGTTTAAGAATTATTGGACTACATGAAAACTATGATCAAAAAAAGAACTTTCACATCATCTTTCAAAAAATTATCAGGAAAACTGCCCTGATATCCTAGAACCAGGAGGTAAAATAGAAATTGAAAGAATCCACTGATCACCTCCTGAAAGAGATCTCAAAGTGAAAACTCTCAGGGATATTATAGCCAAACTCCAGAGGTGCCAGGTTAAAAAAGAAAATATTGCAAGCAGCCAGAAAGAAACAATTCAAATATTGTGGTGTCATAGTCATAACACAAGATTTAGCAGCTTCCACATTAAGGATTGGAGGGTTTAGAATAGATATTCTGAAAGGCAAAAACACTAGAATGACAACCAAGAGTTACCTACCCAGCAAAACTGAGTATAATCCTTCAGTACCACCTGATAAATGCTTATTGAATTTATTTAAATTGCATGTACATGAACATTGTGTATGTTGGGAGGGTAGTGTATAGGTTGTGTTAAGAGAAAGTGTTGGATTGATGTCTGGTTTTATTTCAGCATTATAAGATTGGTTCTACAACTCAGCTGCCTGCCAACTTTCATGTACTTATTGTGAAGTTATTGACTGCTGTTTGGTGGTGGTAGAAGAAGGATGATCTCAGGGCCAGGATACCGTTATCAGACTGGGAATCTAGAGATTTCAATCACAGTCCAAATTCTGGTACTAGCTAGCAATGTGACCTAAAGCTAATCTCCTTATTTCTTTGGATCTCAGTTTCTTCTGTAAGATGACGGGAATCTGACTAAGTAAATTTTAAAGTCCCTTCTAGCTCTGACAATCAATAACTTTATTATAGGGATCCTGGTTGAAGTGGTATTGTGCTATGGTGGAGCTTACTCTCTATCTAGCCCCTTATCCCTGAATAGATTTGACAGTCCAATGCTCTCCCTCACCCCCATTGTTCCACTTGTCTCTTCCCTACAGCTGACAAGGAAGCTGATGAATACTACATGAGGAGACGCCACCTCCCCGATCTGGCTGCCCGGGGCACTCTCCCTCTCAATGTCATCCAGATGTCACAGCAGAAGCCCCCACCACGCGAGCGACCTCGCCGGCCAATACGAGCCATGTCCCAAGACAGAGTCCTGACTCCTGAAAGGATGATGCCAGAGGAATTCAGCATGTCCTATGATAGGATCCTGTCTGATGAGCAGCTTTTGTCAGCTGAACGCCTACATTCCCAGGACCCACTGCTGTCGCCAGAGAGGACAGCTTTCCCAGAGCAGGCTCTGTCTCGTGCCATGTCAAACATGGATGTCTTTGTGTCGACACCTGTGCTGGACCGCTACCACATGACCAAGATGCACTCCCATCCTAGTGCCTCCAATAACTCCTACAACACCCTAGGCCAGAGTCAGACCGCAGCCAAGCGCCAGGCCTTTGCAACTCGGAGACACAACACAGTGGAACAGCTGCATTACATCCCTGGACAGCACACCCACTACCATACAGCCAGCAAGACTGAAGTGACTGTGTGACCAGGGTCAGAGCCAGGAACAGGCTGGGTGGAGGTAGCTAGGAGAGAAGCCCGATTGTCTTCCCCAAAAGGGTCTTGAAGACTTGGCAGAATAAGACTCTTCTGGCCCTTGTAATTCCACCCTCTACTACCATATCCACAAGTGGATAATTATAGAAAATATTCAAGGGAGGGATGGGGGCCAGTTGGGCTGCTTCTGCAACAGAAAGCCATACCCCCTCCTAGAAGTAAAGCCCAAGCCTCCTGGCATTGACTCACTCTGTCTTACACATCTAAAAGTATTTCTTTCACTTTTTCAAGTGGAATTAAGAATTTGTGAGGAAAGAAGATGGTTCTGAGCCTCCCCAGCAGCACCAACTTGCTCCCACATACTCTCTCAATAGGGGTTCAGCTACTAGAGACCCTCTCCTCACTAAAACCCTCCCTTCCCAGGCTGGGCTGACCAGGGTATGTGGTCAGTTGGCTGGTCAGGTTGGCAATGTGGTCTCATTCATTTAACTAGAGCTACATCATGGAAATCTTCTAGTGCCTAAAAACTGCCTGCTCACCTGAGCAGTGGAGCTGCTGTGTCCATAAGCACAAAGATAACTTCCTTGCCCTGTATCAAAGTGCTCCCAGACCTTACTCTCACATAAGCCTGAGAGCAGACAGGTTTCTATCATTTCTTGTGCTCCTTAACAGAAACTCTGGGTTAGGGTAACTTACCTAACCATGCCTCCCTTACTCCAGCATACTCTGCACCCCCTGGATACCCCTTTCCTTATGTTATGTTCTCTAAGGACCTGAATTCTCATAGTCCTCTAACTCAGGAGCTCAAGAGTTTTCCTGAAGTGGTGATGAAGCAAATTCCCACAAAGAAGGAAACCTTGACCTTGATGTATAGGGAATTCATGCCAGAGAACCAAATAGCCTCAGCATCTTCTCCAGGAGCCCTAAGATCAGAACCCTAAACCCAGGCTACAGCTCTCCATACAGGCCTATTTCCTCTCCCCAGAACCCAGCCTGTCAGGCTCTGGGGGGACCCACTGTGATGGCCATTATCTTTAGGGAGAGTTACCATTCCCATCATATCACACTGGACTGTTCAGATGCAGTCTGTTTTAGCCCCCTGAGAGGGCAACTCAGGCCCCAAGCAGAAAATTATCTTTAGACAACAACACTGCCCCTCCCATAAAGCAACTTGCCCTTCTACCTTACCCTTGTAAGCCCCTTTCTTCTCTTTTGGCCAGAGACCAGTCCCCCAATACCCTCCACCTTTTCGTCCTTTTCGGGACTTCTTTGCCCTGTTTGCCTTCCTTTCTCTGTACTGTCAGCTCCAAACCTAGTCACTCAGTTCACATACTGATAGCTTCTAGAATTTATCTCTAGTCTGGATTAAAGACACAGGGGATTTTTTTTAATCTAACAGTGGGATTTTACTTTACTTTATGTTTCACTCCAGGCCACTTTCCCAACCTGGTTACTCTAGGCTGCTTTGCAACCTTTTCCTACTTCTTAGGTTAGAGAGATGAGAAGTATTGGTGGGGGTTGGAGGAGGGGAGGCAGGGGGAGAAACCCAACAGCCCAACAGATTATCTGGATACATAAAGTGATCACAGGGTCGGCACTTCTATTCAAGTTAAGTCGTTAGATTTTAGCCCTGAGTGGCTGCTGGACCATCTGCTGTACCATGACCCAGCCAGAGAAACTAAATGGAGCTCATATGTATGCTGTTGTGTAGTCTTATCCTCTGGGGAGCACAGGCAATTAACTAGCCTGAGGCTGACTACTAAGATGACTGCGTGCCAGGCTATTTTCACTTTAGCAGGGAAGGGTATCTCCCTCATACTTAGGGTGATGGTGTCACTGCAGTTCCATTGGTTTCCTATGCAGGGTATTAAGAAGGGAGTATCCTGAATGAAAACTCTCAGTCAGTGGCCCTAATTGTTCTCACTGCTCCAGCCACTCTAACATTTCTACCAACCTGTTGGAGTGCAGCATAAGAAGATAATGTTATAGAGACAACCATCTTATTATCTCCATCAAAAAAGTTAGGCTCCAAATGAAATGATCTTTAAATAGGGTATCTTTTCCTCATCATAGAGGTAAACTCTCCCACATTGATGTGGTGCCTTCAGAGGTCAGAGAATTTTTCCATGGGATCCTTGTAAATTTTCCATCAAGTTCTAGTTCAGAGATGACACTGAAATTCATCATTTTATTCAACTTATTTGAAGAATTCCAAAGCTCTAATTTTTGACTGAACTTTGGGAAAACTACCATCAGTAGCACTATGGTATAGTGGGAAAAAAATATGTTGGTTCTGGCTCCAAATCTTGCATCTTTCACTTACTACCAACATGACCTCGGACAGATCATTTGGATCACAGATCACAGACTTAAAGCAGGAAGCGACTTTTAAGGCTGTTGAGTCCATCTTCTCATTTTTATAGATAAGAAAACTAAATACTAAAACACTAAGTGACTTGGCTAAAGTCACACAAATAATAGGTGGCATAGCTGAGATTTGACCTCCTGTCCTCTAATGACTCTAATTCCACTGTACCATAGAACCACACTGCCTGCTCTGGGCCTCAGTTTCCTCTTCTGTCAAATGAGGGGGTTTTAGTACATGACCTCTGAGGTCCCTTCCAGCTCTAAATATATGTTCCTATGACCTACTCCCTCCCAACCTTCCTGATTCACTGCTCAGGCCAGTCTCATTCCAATGTGAACAGAGACTCCTCAAATAATTGGTACGGGGCACTTTCTCCTTAGCTTCCCTACATGGGGAGTGACACGGCTTCAAAGAGCTAAGACAAGGACAGATTTTCTTTCTGCCCTCTTCCCCACCAAGCATGTAAACCTTCTGAGGGCTGGTCCCCACAGGTTTATTTGAGTTTGTTCTCTAAGCCACAAGGGGGAGAATTGGGCTCAATGAAACCAAATATACCTATTACAGGATCATGAAATATTCAGTTGGCCACACTAGAAGTGAGGGTACCACAGTCATAAGCTAGTTACAGTCCTATAGCACAATACCAGCAAATCAAGCCAACTTTACCCACTTATTGGGGAAAAGAGAAAGGCAGGGCTTCTTCCCTGCTAAGTGCTCTCCTCTGTCTTCTGTACATGCACTTCCACAATCATTCATAAGCAACAACTAATGCACTTTTCTCATTCCCTCAAGTGAGTCAGTCAGTAGAACATCCTCTTAGTAAATTTCCATAATCTTTGGCAGGGCATTCTCTCTTGGGGATGTTTGAAAATAAATTTTCCGACTGGTTTTGGTCTCTATCCCTCTCTAAATTGTTCTGACGGAGATTCAATTTGATGTGATTTAATTTAACAAATATTTATTATGCACTTACTAGGTGCAAGACACTGTGTTAGGTACTGGCAGGGACATGAGCCTGCAGTTGAAGCCTCTTTCTTTTTATTCTTCTCCTATCATTGCCTCTTTCTCTCCTCCTAGACCTTAAAAGAATAAGTGACTCTTGTTAAAAATGAGTTCTCTGGAATTTTGCCGTGGCTCCTGGTCCTATGAACTTACAGGTCCCAAAAGCTTTATCAAGAAGTCCTTAACTATCACAGATCAAATCTGGTCTTTTTTCACTCAGGGCACCCATTGGATGGATTGACCATCTGTTAGTGCTTTCTGAATTTCGTGGGGCCAGATATTAAAAAAAAAAGTCTTTAACCATATGAATATTTCCATGGATGGACCTCTGTGTTCACTAACTAATTAGATGATGGAACAAACTTCCAAAGTACCAGCTTTCAATCTCCTCTTATTCTTACCCAGTATCTTTCTCTTCTACTCATCCTAATTCCATTTCTTTCTTTTCCCTATTTCCCAGCTCAGCTCTTTCCTCTCCTCAACCCACTCCAAAAACTTGTCTTTCCATCTACTCTCCTCTCTTGTCTACTGTTGTCATTTCCTCTCTAGTGCTGGCCCCTTCTCCCTAGCCTTCCTCTTGCCTCTAGTTTTATAAACCAGAAATCTAGATGAAGATGATGGAATTGTAATCTAGAAAGGAATCTCACTTGATCATTAGTTTTCATTCATTTTGTATTCCTCTAACACCACACCCCATGGACACTCCTTGTCACATGGAGCCCAGAACCTCTTTCTGGCTACATTTTGGAGAAGGGGAGGGGCTGCTAGAACCCAGAGGTCATTGGTGTCAGCACAGCCCTGTCTCTGATCCTACTTTTGACGAATGCTGTCCCTGAGGCTCCAGGTTCTTTCCTGTTGTACCCTGCTCTGGCCACATCTCTTAGCTCCTCAGGGATCTCTCAATCACATTTACTATCTTCCTCTTTTGCCCTTATTAATAACAATATAATACCTTATATTTAAATAGTACTTAATAGTTAACAAAAGCAATTTACATGAATTATCTCACTTGATCTCTTCCGTTTGCAGGTGGTATTTACCCTTTATCTCCAAACACTGAAAGTTTAATTCATTTCCCAGAAATGGGAGGAAAGGAGATAATTCCCCATTATATTTCCCATGTCAACTCTACAATTATTCATATCAAGCACAAGTAAGAACTTGAACCCAAGAAATTACCTAAGTCTGCCTTTGACATACACATGACCACATTAATAAATCATTTACTTATCTTCTACTAAACCTGAAAACTTGTCCCGAAAGTATTTCAAGGGAGCGCATGTTTTAGTGAGATACTTTTCAATGTAAATGCTACTTTCATAAGCAGACCGTTGTCTTGATGGAAAATCAGGAAGTAAGAGAAGTTTTTCTGGGCTCTCATTGGATTTTTATCTACATCCTGACCCTGCTTTGCACTTGCAACTCTTCTGACTCCCATTTGGTATTCAGATTTCTCCTTTCTGAGCTGTACATGCCTCATTATGTCTGACCCACAGAGAAATTCTCAGCCACCAAGGGCATACCTGGTATAGGGTTGGTTTAATAGTCTTGGCCCATTCAGCCAAGATCTTGAAGCTGCATGTTTAACTATCTAACCATTTGATAGGCTTGATTCAATAGGT